AGGTCATGAGTTCAGTTCCTGGTACTGGAAACAAATAGACAAACAAACAAACAAAAAAAGAAACCAGAAATAAGTTCCATACAACTAGAAATTAATAACAAAGTAGACAAAATCATTCCTCCACCAGGGAATTGAATTAAACATTCAGCTCTTAAACAAAAGGTTAAAGCATATAGGTAAAACTCAATGGAAAATACAGAAATTCTACACATTAAACTCTATAGGATGCATTTAACAATGGTTCTCAGGTCTGTCTTTTTTTGCCAGCATCAGGCTGATTTTATCACAGTAGCTTTGTAGTATAATTTCAAATCAGGGATTGTGATGCCCCCTGCCTTGCCTTTGTTGCTCAGGATTGCCTTTGCTATTCCAGGTCTATTATGGTTCCAGATGAATTTTAGGAATGTTTTCTCTAAATCTGTGAGGCATGCTAATGGCATTATTTTGATCAGGATTACATTAAGTCTGTACAATAATTTTGGGAATATGGCAATTTCACTGTATTGGTTTTTCCTATCCATGAGCAAGGGATGGATATCTTTCCATTTTTCTGATATCATCTTTGATCTCTTTTTTATAGTACTATATTTTTCAATATATAGATCCTTTACTTCCTTTGTTAGATTGATTCCTAAGTATTTCATATTTTTGATGCTATTGTGAAGGGTGTTATTTCCCTAATTTCTCTCTCAGTGAGTTAGTTGTTTGTATATAGGAATAGTTGATTTTTAAGTGTTGACTTTGTATCCAGCTACACCACTGAATTTGTTTATTATATCTAGAAGTATTTTGGTGGAGTTTTTGGGGTCTTCTATGCGGTGTATCACATCATCTGTGAATGATGATAATTTAACTTCTTCATATCCTGTCCTTATTCCTTTTATTTCTCTCTCTTGTCCGATTGCTCTGGGTAGTATTTCCACACCTTTTTTTATTACTTATTGTATGAATTTGAGTCTTTTCCTTCCTTTTTTGGTTAAGATTGGCTAAGAGTCTATCAATTTTATTTATTATTTCAAAGAACCAACTCTTTGACTCATTAATTCTTTGTGTTTTTTTCTTAGACTCAATTGTGTTAATTTCTGATCTTCATAATTTCCTCTCTTTTATGGGCTTTGGGCTTGACTTGCTCTTCTTTTTCTAGAAGCTCGAGGTGCAGCATAATGTTCTTTATTTGTACTTGTTCTGTTTTCCTGATGTGAGAATTCACCATTATAAATGTCCCTCTTAGAAGTGCTTTCCTTGTATCTCACAGGTTCTAGTATGCTGTATCT